CCGACATTCTGTTAAATGGGTTCGTGATGTTAAGAATCCACTGCTTTCTGCTCCAACAAACGTTCACATGCATGCGGAGTCGTTTATCAACTAAATTATTCAAATTTATGGATGCTTCCTAGCTTCCCAGGACTGGTGTTTGTGTTGCTGTTGAAGCATTTTATTCACCTGCTATCATTCTTTGTACTCCAATTGCCAGAACGCAAATTTCATTTTGGTTTTATAGTTTCATCGGAGTCGTTTATCAACTATATGTATTCAAATTTATGAATGCTTCCTCCCCAGGTGTTTGTGATGTTTGATGCATTTCATTCACCTGTTATTATTCTTTGTACTCCAATTGTTAGAAAACAAAATGCATTTTGGTTTTATAGTTTCATGCAATAAGTAAGTCAATAAAAGAGCATGTTCTGCACAATAAAAACAGTGTGTGTCCCTATTGTACAATGTGATGTGTCCCCTCAATTTTGTAATAGTTAATTTACCCATTCACATAATGGAACTACCTGCCCGATGAAGCCAGTGGCCTGTGACCCCTGAGCACTCAACACCGTGTGGGAGTCAGTTTGTGGTCAAATTCTTTTATGAGACAAATAGAAGCAAACGTTTCCATATGTTCCCCCTCCCGCGCGAAGCGCGGAAGCTCTGACGTTTCATTAAATTATGATAGAAAGAAGATGATTCGTTGAACTATTTTCGACTCTTAATCCTTGTCTGAATTCAGTTTCCCCCTCCCGCGCGAAAGCTTTGCCGTTTCATTAAATTATTAGAGAAAGAAGACAATTCGTTATACCGTTCTCTACCCTTAATCCTTGTCTGAATTCATTTCCCCCTCCCGCGCGAAGCGCTGAAGCTTTGACGTTTCACTGAATTATTAGAGAAAGAAGACGATTCGTTGTATCTCTTAATCATTGTCTAAATTTTCAAAAATGTTTTTTGTCCGATAAAAAGTCACCGTTCGTAGGCAGAAAAAAATTTGCCGGCCGACCGGAATAATACATTTCACCGACTTTAAACGTCTGCATTGATATAGTACACGTGGATCGCGCAAGAATACCGACACAGCGGACCCATCACAGGAACATAACAATCTATGCGTATCTTTCTTGCTCCCCGAAGTGGCGAATCCACAAAACATCCCCCTCTCTCTCTTACTCCCACCCCTCTTCTCTCAGGCTCTTACCCTCACCTCTCTCCTCTCTTTCGTCCCCTATTTATTCCCTTTTCTCTCCTTTTTCCTTTTCTTTCTTTTCCTTTCTTTCTTCTCTTCTCTTTCCTTTCCCTCTCATTCCCCCTCCCCTTTTCTCATTTTTCTCGACAGCAGCGCAATTTTACCGCCAATATCCTGACAGGTTGGGGTTGTCACACCCCCACACACCCCCTTTAGCGACGCTCCTGATTGTTATCCCATTATTCTTTTAAAAGAAATGCAATTCCTCATGCTCTCGCACCTCTTCTTTTACCTTTCTCCTTTAACTCACAAAAATCCTCTCTTTCCCCCCTTTTTTCCATCTTTTTGTTGTTGTTCTTCTTCTTGTGCTTTTTTTTTTCTGGGGGGGGGGGGGGGGTGGGGGCTACACGCCTGACAAGAGGGACCCCACATTATGCACATTGCAAAATTGCGTGCCCCCCCCGCCTCTTTCCTGATAAAAAATACCTTTTTATAATATCATCCACCTTTCTTTCTTTCCCTTCTCATTATTCTCCTCGCTCTCTCTCTTCCCCTTTTTTCCTCCCTGTCCCTTTTCCCTCCATCTCCTTTACTCTCCTCCCTCTTTTCTTTTTTCTTTCTCTCTTCCCTTTTCTTTCTTTTTCCCTTCCTTTTTCTTCTTTCTATTTTTTCCCTTTCCCCTCTTCCCCCACTTTTTTTTTACCGGGGGGGGGGGGGGCACGTGCCCCCTGAATACGCCACTGTTCATGAAAATTATATATATTTTTCCCTTTGGCTTGGCTATTTAATATAATTGATTCTTTATATTTCGTATGGCCTTGAAAAACTATAGCATGTATTTTCTGTGTTTGCTTTGAATTTATCATGTCTTGAGTTAATTAAAGTTTAAAATTTCTGAACTTGCAGGCATATGTATGTTTACATTCCGTATTTTTCCTGTGTTCTGTATTTATCATTATATCCTGCCCCTTGTTGCTACGAGGGCTAGATATCCCACGGCATTTTTTAAAACTTTAATTTTGTTGCACTATATAGACCTTATCAGACCCCCTTACCCGTCCCCACCACCATTACCCTCACCCCAACAAACACAAATAGACAATAAATGTTTGGTTCATTTTCGGATTACAGTACCTCTTTGTACGCTACATGACGCGAAAACCTCCAAGGTCCGCAAGTGTTCAAGCCCCTATCCCCCAAACAAAACACAATTCTAAAGTGCCTCCCCCCCTCTCTTGGCAGTAACTAGGCTCATGATGGTCCGACCCAACCCCCCCCCCCCATATAATTTGTAGGTTTCCATAAGTCCTACTAAAAGCTACTTTCTACAAAAACATTATTGTCGTATATAAACAATCACTAGTTTCTAAAATAGCAAACTCAGTTCTTATGATAATGGGCCTGCTTGATTTAGTGGCGTAGCCTGGATAGAGTATTGGGGCAAGATTTCACACAAGGAGGACAAATTACGATAGGATTATAATTATATGTGTTATGTTTTATTTCTTATTTTCGTCACCACAGAAGCGGGGAATTTCTCTTTATAATTATCAAATATAAAAGGTAAAATATACCTACTTAAAAAAAGAGAGATATTCAGGGCCATTTGTCGCCCGTGGGGGTGTCCTCCGTCCAATATTTCCCTTTATTATTACGATTTTGTTTATTGATAATTAGGCCTATTTAAAATGTTTTGAATAACGATCGACCCTCATTCAGTATTATGAATAGCGACCTTCACTCCTTATTATGAATAGCGACCCTCATTTCGTATTATGAAAAGCGACCCCCTACCCCTATTATGAATAGCGATCCTCATTTTGTATTATAAATAGCGACCCTTTCCTCGTATTATGAATAGCGACCTTCTCCTCGTATTATGAGTAGCGACCCTCAGCTCTTATTTATGTGATTGTATGCTTGATGTAAACTTGCATTTTTAGTCTTACCTTGAAACCTTATTTGAATCTTGAATCTTGAAATAGCAACCCTCATTTCGTATTATGAATAGCAACCCTCTCCTCGTATTATGAAAAGCGACCTATATTTCGTTTGATGAATAGCGACCCTCTACTCCTATTATTAATATCCACCCTCGTTTTGTATTATGTATAAAGACCCTCTCCTCGTTTTAATGATACAACCCTCTTCTCGTATGAATAGAGACCCTCATTTCATATTATAGTGGTCCTTATGAGTAGTGACCCCCAATGTAAATTATGAATAGCGCCCCTTCTTCATCTTTATGAATGGCGACCCCGATTTCCTATTATGAATAGCGGTCCTTACGAGTAATGACCCTTTATTTGAAAGGGGGGGGGGGGGGGGGGGGTAAGCGGACACTTTTTTTTTTTTTTTTGGTATCGAAATTTGAAAATTTGACATTTTGCTCCGTTGGGGGGGGGGGTAAGGTCATCTTTTTGAGGTCGGCCATGGGAATTTTTTTTTTTTTTTTTAAATTAAAAAAAAAAAAAAAAAAAAAAAAAAAAATCCAAAAGGGGGGGGGGGGGGGGGGTTTAGGAAAATTTAGGGGGGGGGGGGGTTTACACACAAAAAATTACCAAAGGGGGGGTTTAACCCCCCAACCCCCCCCCCCCCCTGTGTACGCGCCTGTGTGTAATCGTCCATGACCTAGCATCGTTTAGCCATTCATGAATGAACCTGCATTCAATCAGCAGATGTACGAGATTAATTGTATTAATACCAACGCTCCTTCTCTCCCCTTTCCTTTTCTTCTCCGCAAGTCAGTCTTTTCTATTTGTATTTGTTATTGTTGTTGTATCTAAGTTGAGGGCTGCGGGCACGTCAAGCTACTTTGCTTATTTCTGTAGCCCTCCTGCATCTAATGTATGCTAATTATGCATTCAATATATTTGTTTAAATTCGTTTATTATCTGTATAAAGTTACATACACTTAAAATATTGTATCAAACCATATTATGTTCATGAAAATGTATGATGAAAAAAAAAAAGATGCAGAAGCCAATAAATCAAATCAAATCAAATCAAAATCAAATATCTATATGAATAGTGGCCCTCTTCTCCTATTATGAATACTGGTCCTTCAGGTATGCGAAGTTACACGTTATGAATAGTGGTCCTTATGAAAAGCGACCAGAACCCCAAAAGTTACCCCCGAATATTACCCCTAGGATAATTACCCCCCAGAAAATTACCCCCAGGACAATCATCCCACTCCTGAAAAATACTCCCTAGGACTCCCCCCCCCCCCCCCACCCCCAAATAAATTCTGGATCCATTAAAACTAACTTATTATCAGGGTGGATTTCCCCATTAATGAACAGGAGGGTAATTTCTCTTTTGGAGGGGGGGGGGGGGGGTAATTGTCCTAGGGGATTGTCCAGGGGGTAATATTTCTCTCAAATCAAGCCTGTAGTATGTGCTTGCTGTCCAAATAGATTTCTATCGCATTTGATAAATAATGAAATAAACATTAACTTGAATTAAAGTAGTAAATACTTCAGTTTATTATAGATATATTGAAAATCATGGGTCTTTAAGAAAAGACTGCTATCAACGATTGAACTGATATATTTATATTTATTTCATGTTTATTTGTTGTTGCATACACTCATGTCAAGTCTTGTTCTTGGAATGCCTGAAAGGGAGACATGGAGTTTTGTGATGAATTCTTCTACAGTTTGGTCCACGGTTGAAGTTAGCAAATTGGGTAATGTACAATTTCGACACTGAAAATGTTTTCATCAGAGCATGTGTTTACAACTAAACAAGACACTCACCAAAATATGACCTTTAACCCTATAGAAGGTGGACACTGAGAGAAGCATCACTAAAAACATCAGGCATCCATATTTGACCATGATACAATATTTTAATTTTTTTAATTATTTATTTATTGGTATATAATGATCGACCAGCAGCACAAGGCTGAAAGGGTCAATTTACAAAGGTACATTGATGTATATACATATACATGTACAATAGTATTACGAAACATAGTAAATAAATCAGTAATATATTGACAATACACCTCTGTATAAAATTTGATCAAATTCTGTCCAAAAATGTGGCCGGTATACAGTACACAGAAAAAATGTGACATGGCAGCGTTGCAGATACTACTAGTGAATAACAAACAGTGTACATAATAGTCGTTAATCTGTTTTACCCCTTAAATGGCCCATGACATCAAAATACAAGTGTATTTTTGTTGGTTTGCAGTCCTGCATACATCTCATATTTTGATTATGTAAACTTCTGAATTTTTTTCATAGATTTTTAAATATTTTTTTAAACATTGGTTTTTCAAACTTGCTAAGCTCCACCCCCAAAACCTCCAGATCTAATTCCCCTTGTGACATCATCTGTCAGTCATCAATGAGCCAACTTGAGAAAGTGGTATGTATCTTTGCCGAAGTCGACCACCTGTTACAGTACGTAATACAATAGCAACCTCTATCCTTAACCTCTTTAGTCAATACAAATTCCTGCAATTGTTTGACACAGTGAACAACTAAACATACTTTAGTCATGCAGTGAAAATGATCAATTGATTCCATGATATGATTGTCATTTCTTGTTTAGTTTCAGAATCATAGTAATTTCATGTGATGAATAGACTGACACTTGACACTTCATAAAACAGGGAAGGGGGGAGGGGGCTGCAGCTCCCCCTCACTTTTCAAGTCAACGTGTACAATACCACGGGCTGGAATAAAATGACATGCTCCTTTTCATGTTCAGGCCCCCTTTTTCAAAAATGCTCCTGGAATAAAGTACACTTTTATAAATACTGGTCAAAGACACACAAAACTAGAAAGTAATACATCAATCGATAAAAAAAAAAATGATTTAGTAATTTTATTTCTCAATAAAAATCTATATTTTTTGTATGTGTATCTTTTCTGACAGTGTAACAAAAGTGTGAGCACATAGGTGAAGGCTCTTTTTGCTCATACACAACATCCTGGCTTCATTCCTTGCCCATTACTGACATCCCTAACCGACCAAGGTAGCTACCTGGTAATGCTAGGGTTATGATAATTACAGGACCTGCAGGAGGAGCAGTGTCAATACTCATGTGGCTATCCTGGTTGAATAAGACCAAATCTTAGTAAGCAAATTAGAGCACCTTTTTCTTGATATTAAAATACTAAACATAAACATATATATCATCATGATTAATTTAATATACAAAGTATGCATATTAACCTTATTTGCCTGCTGACAAATGCCACTTGTCTAGAACTAGGTGTAAAAAAATAAACATTTGGTAATTTGATCTAATCACTCAAAACAGTTGAACAATGTCAGACTACTCTTTCACTCTTTATATATTCATGTTTTGGACTAACTTCTTGAATCATTATGTCATTAAGAAAAATATGGTAAAGGATGTTAAAGACAATTACAAAAATAGTTATGAGGAAAATAAACAGCTACATTTGATTACACTGTAAATATGGAGAAACATACTGGTTGGCTGTTAGATTATATTGCTGGTTGTAGCCAAACTGGTTTCCATCTTATAATATTATGATATTACAGTATACTGTGCTTGCTTGATGTTGTAAAGTACTGTTCTATTTTACTTGTTCGGTTGGGCGTAGCAAAATGTCATGGATCTAAAAATGGACACAAAAGAGAAAACACTCATTAGTTACTAGCATAATAGAAATGTTACATTAGAGAAATACATGGAATTAATTCAAGTACATGTATTAGCAAGGCATTCAAAGTCAGGTTATTAATTTGTTTTTTTCACTTCTTTACTGAAAATAAAAGTGGTTGAAATATAAATCTTGCAAATATCACTGTTTTAAGAGGAGAAAACTGGTAATATCATCATACCTTCCAACATTAGAAAATAGGAAATCTGTACCCTTAACCCTTACTGTACTGGGCTATTTTGAGCACCTCATGACTGGGGGGGGGGGGGGGGGGGCCTCCCAGGCCCCCCCCCCCCTATGATCTCAGCCGTTGCAAGTCCGATGAACACGAAAATGTGCATGTTTGTAGATATTTACGTAAGGAACAAGATTGTATAATTAGTTTTTTCCTAATATGCAAATTTTTGTAGTTATAGCCTAATTAATTATGCAAAATGCTAATTTTATGCATTTTACAGAAAACTCTACGTATTTGTCTGTAGACTTGTGAAGAATGTTGAAAATATATTGAATGAAGGTTTCCTTCATCTCAAATTCATGAGGTTACATTACTTTTATGATATTTGAAATGCATAGGTTAATTTTCATAAATTATGAATACGCATTCATGAATATCAAATCTGGAAATATACAGGGAACTAGAATCGTTACCAAAATTGTCAGACTCCACTTTTTGAATGTTAATTGAAACTCATTATTCAAATGAAACTTCTTTTCTAACACAAAATAGTTATTGTGATGTAATTATTAATAATAATTTATGCAAATTTGATGCGATTTTCAAATATTTATTATCTTTTATTTCTTATTATATCTATTGTTTTATTTATTCTTTTGTTCTGGAATACATATAAAAGCAATTTGATACCAATTCATATCTCCCACTTAGGAAGAAATACATCTAAACCTGTATTCACATTTCTGTTTGTACATGAATATATGCAATTATAGCATATTTTTGATGACATGCGCATACTAATTGTTATGTAACACCTTACAGGTATATCTGATTTCGACGAAAAATGGTACCAAAATGTGCGTAAGACTTGAGGGAAAAAAGTCATGAAACGACAATTCAAATTTCCAAGGGGTTGCGGCGCAATCTCAGAAAATGTCGAGGGGGGAGGGGGGGAGGGGGGCCTCCCCCCCCACCTCAGTACAGTAAGGGTTAACAGGCGATCATATGGCCTTACCATGGCCATGTATGCAGTGGCAGTGTAACTGGCAATACGCGGTAAATCTGTACGAAAAAGCGAATACAAAATTCCCTACTTGACCGTGCAGCCATTCAACACACGCAATATGTGAACTCTCAAATTGCAGCATGTGGTAAAACAAGCCAAATTTGGGTTTAACAAATCTTTGGTCATTGAGAATTTTGAAAAATCTGAATACTCCAAATTTGTAGGTCCTAAAAATTCAGAAAATCTGAATATTCTGATTAAATCGGAAAAGTTGGCAGGTAATATTGTGATATGTGAATACTATACCTGAACATGAGCAGGCTGTTGTAGAATGTGAATGACTTGATTAGCAACATCTTCTGCTTTCAGACTCTAATATAGAAGACATTAAAGAAGTAAATAAGGGAGAGAAACTCAAACAAAACCTACAAAATAACTGAATACTCATAAATATGTAAAAACTCTCAGCAAAGAGAAATACATTTGCATCACAAATAAGCAATTTCACTCGAAGTTATAACATTATTTGGTGTACGAAATGTTAAGCTGCTATAAGGAATGAGATGAATTACCCTGGAACAAGTGCTAAAATTACCCTTTTTGATTCCAACATTGGAACTTAAAGATAAACTTTAGTACTGGTAATGCGATTGCATTGTGAAAGAAAAGGTGTGGAAAGGATCAGAAACAGTTGATCATGTAGCATGTAAGTATTGGTGTGGACTGCAAGGTTCTGGATTCATCAAAATCATAATAAATTTGACCGAGTCTTGGTAAAGTAACAAGCACTTACACAGAAAGCTATATATGGGACAACACTCATGGTGTCAGGGCTGGTACTACCTTGATTTCCTTGTCTTCTTATGCTCATTACTCAGCCAGTATACATTTTCTTCCAAAAATGTTTGGCACATGTTATTTATTTGTAATCTTGAACATTCAGTGTAAGTTTCGTTTGTTTCTGTGAGAATTAATTTTCTTTTTTTTACCAGAACTCAAGTTTATCTTTAAGCTATACAGTCACGATCAGGATACACAGTATTAGGATCTATTCTAGTGATCATGTTTGACACAATGTTTATCTGGTTCAAGATTGTTAAAAAAAAGACAGTTTACTAAATCTGCTATTCAGTCTAAATTATTAGAATATACTTATACAGTAGGTTTGTGGGTGCACCATGTGAGAGAGAGAGACAGAGGGTTGAGGAGTCCTGAAAGGGACTGTGACTCAGTAATCTTTCTTGGGGGTGTGGTAGTCCTGAAAAGGACTGTTTGTTATCTTTCTTAGCATATAGTTCTAAGGAGAACTATAGCGCTTGGAGAGGATGAGTATGGCTCAACGTTTCGAACAGGTTGACTATCCGTCATCAGGAGTGGAGAATGGCTGGCATGCGTGAGCTTAAGTCACCGGGGTGCTAGAATATAGTTTGAGTACCACTCCTGGATGTACGTGTATTTGATAAATGTCCTTTTCAGGATTATGACAAAGTTTTCTTGGTTTAACCATGGAGGTCCATGGTTTAGAGATACCGGTAGGCTTGTGTCTTATCCATGTACAGGTGTCATGAAACCAACAATTTCTGTAGAACACATTGTCCCGTATTCTGAGGTCGTGTCTAACTCCTGTTTAATTAAACAGTTGTCTAAGTCCTGTCTAAGTCCCGTCTAAGTTTAGACACAAAGTCGTGTCTAACTTTTTTCGTATTCTGAAGTCGTGTTTAAATAAAGTTAAACACGAAGTCCTGTCTAAGTCCTGTTTAACTTTAGATAACTGCGAGGGGTTGTTTAAGTCCTGTTTAAGGGCGCGAGTCTGCTGCTTTTCAATGTCGACGGTACACTCTACTTGCTGACCCCAAACTTGCGGGGGAGAACAATGGTACGTGCATTCTTTAAAATTACAAATACGTTTTGCAGGATTTTTTCTCGTGTAGCCTAATTTTTTTTCCCCGATAATACTAACTATTCTTATCTACTGGTGACATCTTGGAAATTCCATAATCTATAATAAACTAACCATTCTGTTGGAGAGGTTTCTTTTCTGATTCTTCTGAGCACTGAGGCACTGATAAGTAGTGTGTTTGTTAATCTCAGTGTACAGTACGTGTGCACGTACGTACGTACACAGTACATGCAGTCTATAGTCATTACGTCACGATCACATCACCATGGTACCAGCACACGCACAGCTAGCTGTGCACGTTAATTTATTTATCGGGTGCGCGCACGCATGTGCATTGGGTCTTTCGTCAGAATTAACGCCTACTGGGCATGCGCAGAAGTCGTGACTAAAAGTTAAACACGACCTGCGCAGAACTTAAACAGTTGTTTAGTTAGACGGGACTTAGACAGGACCTCGTGTTTAAGTCATGTCTAACTAAACAGTTGTTTAACTTTAGACGTGGCTAAGTTAGACACGACTTCAGAATACAGGCCAATGAATTTAAGATACCTTTAAAGATACTATGTCCCTTTTGCAGCCAACATCAAATTCTGTAGAACTTTGCAGGAATTATTAATATGTCATGTATGTCCTATCTATGAAATTTAAATGTTAACAGTGTCCTAATATTTAAATTATGCAAGGAAACCTGTTTACTTGCTAGACTTCACTGTCAGACACTATTGAGTGACTGACTGGCTTTTTTTCTTCTTCTGTGGTAATAACATACATAAAATGAGCTGTAAAGGGTACATGAACATTTGTCTACATTAATATCCACTTCTTGTAATGGCCAAAATTAAACTGATTGAATCTTTGCGCAGCAAAAAACCGTACAACCCTTCGGTACAATGGTCTGAAAATCAGATTATAACTTACTGGCTCTATAGCTCTTAAGTCGATTTGACAACTAATAGTCCTTATTTTCCCACTTAAAGACATTTTCAAGCCCCCATTTTTTCTAAGAGAAGTTCTAAATTATTATTATCTTTCAAAAGCCGTTGAAATTTAACATTTTCATTTGTTGGGCCTGCAAATTTCATACCACATTTGAACCATGTCACACTCACCGGATTTTTCTGATAAAATGTACATTCCGCAGGATCTTGGCGTGCCTTTCTTGGTGCAAATTCAGTCTCTACAACACCTGGTGAAATACCCTGGGATAAAACCAAATAGTGCAAGTTCATTAGACCAAATAAATGATTATTAATAATACGACAACAGGGAACTTTTAAATGATTCTGATGAGATAGAGAGGTTTTGACGCAGTTGTAACAGACAGAAATTGAAAAAAAATAAAATAAAGTAAAACTGATGTATAGAGACAAGCTTTACACAATTGAGCGTGCTTCACTTTATGCAAAAAAATTGTGACTGAACAAACATATATAAACAACGGAAGGATAGACTTACCACAGTAACTTCAATTTAGAATTAATATTGAGTACCTCACTTGTTACAAATGCTTAAAGGGGTTCGAAACAGCAGAGAGCTTGCACAGGTGTTTAACATGTGAGGAAATATTTTATTAAAACGCATGAGTGCGCCATCTAACTAGATATACATTATAGTCTGTCAATTGACTAAATCACATTAACAGGATACTGTTATTTCACTGAAACTTACACAAACTCTGATGTTGGTCTTCATTGCCCTCAGCTCATTCCTTAAACCTTCTGTCAAAGCTGTCACCATGTACTTAGTTCCACAGTAAAAACCATCTCCTACAATTCTGTGACCAGACATACTGTGAAAGAAGCAAGTAAAGCAGATGTTAGATATAATCTTCCTTTTTTTAATGCAACACTAGTACAAAAGAACTACATGCAGTATAAAGTTAAATACTTCTTTATGTATAACAAAAGTAAAGTGAGTAACTCAAAAGAAGAGTATACATCTATGGTCAACAAATTGTACAAATTGAAATCAAACAAGTCAACGTAAAGCGTAGCATCCCCTCGCAGGGTACAAATGGCCTATATACATCAGAACAAGTGACCTCCATTGGACTATACTATTTTCACATGTATAATTAGGTATTTTTGCAAATTTAATGAGCTATGACCTTTCACCTTTGACCTACATACTTGGAAATTGAACTAAGTCTGTGTTTTGATACCATGTACCTTCATATCAAATTTCATTAAAATTCGTCAAATATTACTCAAGTTATCAATGGAAACCAGATTTGCATATTTAATGAGCTATGACCTTCGACCTACATACTCCAAAATCGAACTTAGGCTGTTTTTTGATACCATGAACCTTCATATCAAATTTTATTAAAATCTGTCAAACAATAAAAAAGTTATGGATCAGAAACCAGATTCGCATATTTAATGAGCTATGACCTTTGACCTACATACTCCAAAATCAAACTTAGGCTGTTTTTTTATACCATGAACCTTCATTTCAAATTTCATTAAAATACGTCAAACATTACTGAGGTTATCAATCGGAAACCAAATTTGTTACGGACGCACGCACGGATGGAAGGACGGCAGCGTTTCGATATACCCTCTGACTTTGTCGGCGAGGGGATAATTATAATTAAATCAGTATAATTAGTGATGCCTTCACTGTATCAGTACAGCTCATAAAGTAGAATTCCACGACATGATTTAACGAGGAAGAAAGAGCATGTTGTTAAAATAGTGTTATAGAGCTCCACATTTACTGAGTAATAACTGTCCAGTAATAACTGTCTTACTGATAAAAACTTACATTTACAATGTAACTTAAAAATGATTTTAATCATAGGACATAATGTCCAACATAAATAAAACAAGAAGGCTCCCAAACGCATTTATGACCCTTTTTATTGGTTGGAATTGGAGTGACAGATGCTAAGAATGTTGTCACATGAGCCTATACACCATCATCACATGAAGGTTTTACAAGTGTCTCTCTTACGCAAATGTGTTCGCTACGAGATTACCAGTTACCACAGTAATAAGTGTGATCAGTTATTTGTCACAAAAGTCTCTTGCAGGTAAAATTTAGCATATGACCTGAAAAATGTTGTTTGACTTTAGCATGTGATCCTAAACAGCACGATAACATGAATGTCCATCAAGTACATCTCTAACACAAGTTTGGTCACAATAGCTTGCCAAGTTGTTTATCCCACAAGTGTCATACGGGTTAACTTGTTATTATGGTACCAGTCGGAAAGCCAAGAAATTGAGCTGTGCCAATACATACAGAGAAAGAGAGAAAGAGAGAAAGAGAGAGAGAGAGAGAGAGAGAGAGAGAAGGGGGGGGGGGGGAGAAGGGAAGGCAACAACAATTAATCTTTTTTTTTTAGCTCACCTATTTAGATGTATAATCTGTCCATCATTCACTTTATTATCCAGCATCAGCTTTATTGAATTTTGAGTGCAAATACACAGAGCCATGACATTTATCTGATGGAAAGAGAAAGCAAAAAAACTGTTATCACATTAAATTTATGGAGAGGTGAGAGAACAAATCAAGCATCTCAAAATAACAATAAACAAAGTACTGCTCAAAGGGGAATTATGCTTCATACAAAGTTGACCAGATTGAAAGCAAAATAAAAGAAACAAGACAAATTAGACAAAGAATCTTGTTTGACCAAATACAGTGTATATAGAAAACCTCTCATTGGGGTGTGCTGTAATTTATGGATGGAATACTACTCTGTATGTTGTGTATAGAAATTTAATCCAAACATCTTTCTGCTCAATGCTGTAGATATTCTTTTTTTGACCACTGCTTAGACTTCATTTATTTATTTAAAAATATTTAAAACAGGATATCGGCCAAAGTGGTTTTTCACATTGGTCCTGTGTATTAGTAAACCCCAATTTAAAAAAGCCTTGTGGGCACATGATACAGCAAACCTTGAAGAAGAAAAAAATTAACAAAAGAGATTAACATTTTCAAAGTTTTTCTACCAACTTGTCATTAATTTTAGCATTGTGTTATTTTGCCATGATGTTTTTTCTTCTTCTAATTCAGGCAAATCATAGGTGAACAAGGCTTAAGAAAAGAGTTTGCACTCACATCTAATGTTGTTTGCCAATCTTCTGGCTTGCCTCTGACTAGATGAGCACCAAAGCTAATACCTGCGTTGTTGATACAAACATGGACTACTTTATACTCCTTCTTGATCTCTTTAAACATGGCAGCTATCTGATCTTTCTGAGTAAGATCACATTGGATAGGATGAAGCTTTCCAGAGGCAGACTCGGCTTCAAGCTCCGACTTCATTGCCTAAGTGATACAATGTAAAAACAGAAGATAACTGAAGCTTTCCAGGGGCAGACTCAACTTCAAGCTCTAACTTCATTGCCTAAGTGATACAATGTAAAAACAGAAGATAACTGAAGCTTTCCAGAGGCAGACTCAGCTACAAGCTCTAACTTCATTGCCTAAGTGACACAATGTAAAAACACAAGATAACTGAAGCTTTCCAGAGGCAGACTCATCTTCAAGCTCTAACTTCATTGCCTAAGTGATAAAATGTAAAAACAGAAGATAACTCAAGATTTACAGAGGCAGACTCAGTTTTAAGCTCTAACTTCATTGCCTAAGCGATACAATGTAAAAACACAAGATAACTGAGCTTTCCAGAGGCAGACTCAGCTACAAGCTCTAACTTCATTGCCTAAGTGATACAATTATGTAAAAACACAAGATAACTGAGCTTTCCAGAGGCAGACTCACTTTTAAGCTCTAACTTCATTGCCTAAGTGATACAATGTAAAAACAGAAGATAACTGAGGCTTTCCAGAGGCAGACTCACTTTTAAGCTCTAACTTCATTGCCTAAGTGATACAATGTAAAAACACAAGATAACTGAGGCTTTCCAGAGGCAGACTCACTTTTAAGCTCTAACTTCATTGCCTAAGTGATACAATGTAAAAACAGAAGATAACTCAAGATTTCCAGAGGCAGACTCAGTTTTAAGCTCTAACTTCATTGCCTAAGTGATACAATGTAAAAACACAAGATAACTGAGCTTTCCAGAGGCAGACTCAGTTTTAAGCTCTAACTTCATTGCCTAAGTGATACAATGTAAAAACAGAAGATAACTGAGGCTTTCCAGAGGCAGACTCACTTTTAAGCTCTAACTTCATTGCCTAAGCGATACAATGTAAAAACACAAGATAACTGAGCTTTCCAGAGGCAGACTCACTTTTAAGCTCTAACTTCATTGCCTAAGTGATACAATGTAAAAACAGAAGATAACTGAGGCTTTCCAGAGGCAGACTCAGTTTTAAGCTCTAACTTCATTGCCTAAGTGATACAATGTAAAAACACAAGATAACTGAGCTTTCCAGACGCAGACTCAACTTCAAGCTCTAACTTCATTGCCTAAGTGATACAATGTAAAAACAGAAGATAACTCAAGCTTTCCAGAGGCAGACTCAGTTTTAAGCTCTAACTTTATTGCCTAAGTGATACAATGTAAAAACACAAGATAACTGAAGCTTTCCAGAGGCAGACTCATCTTCAAGCTCTAACTTCATTGCCTAAGTGATACAATGTAAAAACACAAGATAACTGAGCTTTCCAGAGGCAGACTCAGTTTTAAGCTCTAACTTCATTGCCTAAGTGATACAATGTAAAAACAGAAGATAACTCAACTATCCATGAACAATTTCAAATAATCATTCCAAGAGAATAACTAAAAGTAAAACTGCCACCGCACATTACTGATTACTTCTCCAGTCAAAGGGGAAAATGCTGCATGTGAGATCCTTAGGGATTTTCTTTTGTGAATTTGAGATTATTTTGAAACAATTAAACATGTATTAGAGTTTGTTATATACCTCACTTACGAAATCCAGCCATCTGATTGGTCGAAATTGCAGTCAGGGTTTTAGCCATTCCCGTAAATAAACGAAAAATGCCAAGCCCATGTTATAGTTCGAGGGTAAAATTCAAATTACCGGGAATAGTTCAGTCTTGCTTAAAAACTGGTTTGAGCGATCGCGGATACCATACATGTACAGTGAACGTGTACGTGTGCGAAGAATTGGTCGCTAGGCAGGAAGAACACCAAAAGGGTATGCCCTACGTGAATGAATTGGTCTTATTATTAGCTATAGATCTAGGTCTAGAATAGATTGTGATTTTATTGCTTGTGATAACGGTGATACAGGTATTGAAGATTGTATCATGCAAGTGTTTGAATTCATTTGATGGATGAAAAGTTGAATTCTACGCCGTTTTGTGCGTCATTGCAGCGCTGAATTTGGTGTGTTTGTCGCTAATTTCTGACAAATTTAGATAACTTTCCTGATGGTATTTCATGCAAAATTTCTGTTATATTGATAAGCACTGATTCTTGTCCTTACCTTTGACTTGTTTCTTGTCTGTTATAGTCATTTAATAGATGAATTGCTTGAATTCTGAGCACATTTCAGTAACACAAAAAAATCCAGCCCATTCATAGTCCCACACACGTATTTGTATGTACCTTGTGCCTTATGCAAGGAGTCCACTGGGCCAGCGCCAGTTGGTGCCAGTTCACGCCAACGATAATGTGATTGGCTCGTAGTGGCTCGCTGTGGCGCCGAATTAATGTTAGCTCAGCAGGTGTTGCCAAGTGGAATAAACTGGGTGCCATATGGCGTGCGCCAAATGCCACCCGGCTTGCTCCAAAATGTTGCGCCAGTTTGCGCCAGTTCGCGCCATTACACGGCCATTTGATTCCAAAATTCACCGTTGGCGCCATTCACGCCAATAGACGGCTACTTTGCGCCACTTGGTGATTAGTTTGTGCGAAAGGTCACCAAATTGGTTTGAACTTGCCGCCGCTTGGCGCTACTTGCCGACTATATAAATACCGGCCATCGGCTACCTGGTTCAGACCCTCCTCAGCTGCTGTATGAACAACATCTCTACTAAATATTTACAATTTTGATAGGCGGCAAGTGGCGCCGAATGGCGGGCAACCAGGTGGCATTTGGCGCGAAGTAGTCACCAATCGGGTGCCGTTTCGCTCGCGCCACTGCACATTTGGCGCGCCACTTGGCGCCAAGTGGCGCCACGTTGCGCAAAATCTCATTGGCGCAACTTGGTGCGCGCCATTACATTCCAGTGGATTCCAATATGCGGATTGTTTGCGCCAAATGGCGATATGTTCACGCCATTTGGTGCCACTTGGCGGACACATGGTGCTGATTGCTTGATGCAAGTGGCGCAACGAAAATTTCAAACATTTTGAAATTTTCTGGCCGCCACATTCAAATTTTGAGCCGTTACGGGCCACCACGAGCCAGTTGGGAGGCAGTTTGAGCCACTACACGCCACTAGGCACCTTATTGGTGACACTAGGCGCCACAGTAAATTGCATTGGCGCAAACTGGCACCAACTGGCGCTGGCCCAGTGGACTCCTAGCATTACACTGCTTAGTCAGTTCGATAGCATAAACAAACTTGATTATCATGATTGGTAAGTCGCACATGTATTCCATGACCCTTTTCGGTATATAAAAGTATTAATGACTGCTTTAATTTTCGAGACATAGTTGTTTTTCAAAGCAGTCATTAATACTATACTCTTTACCAGAGCTAAAAAATAAAATTACTCATTGCTCTCAAGCCTTCTAACCCCCCCCCCCCCCCCCCCCCCTGTGCAACATGTTTAGTCTTAGCAACAACAAAAAAATTCATTGTAGTACAAGATGTCCCCCTTTGAGACAGTGGCATGAACAACTAGAATGATAAAGTAGCTTCCATTTTGACATATCTTATTCCTATTAAATTGTTGACAAATATGTTGAGGGGTATTTTTTACAACTACAATCAATGGACCAGATTATATCAGATTCTATGCATGCTGAAAGTTTAGGACTTAAATTCTAAAAACACAAGAATAAAGTTTATTAATATGACTGTCTATGTCTTGTCATTGGTTTTGAGAAGAATCTCATTGAAATATATGATCACATCTGTGTGTTGTTTGTAGGAAGTATTCAAGCTTTAAATAAAAGCAGATTTGGGAAAAGGGGGGATACCGTTGCCACATGCCGGGGCAATATAACAAATCTTCCAAAACAATTCTATGAATATCATATATACACTGTACCTGTATTTTGTCCACTCCACGAGCACAGGCAACGACTATCATTCCATGCCTCACAAGGGATCTAGTTATTGCTTCTCCAATACCAGCAGATGCACCAGTTACCAGGGCAACTCTTCCAACCCATCTCTCCATTCTATTGGAACTGAATGAAAATACACAGAGACAGAAAGTTAGAGAGAGAGAGAGAGAGAGAGAGAGAGAGGGTCATGATAGATCATAATCAGATTAGATTAGTTTTACAAAAAGAAAATAGAAGAGTCTAGGCTTGGTCTCTTGTTTCACTTAAACTTTAAAGCTGCAATACACAAGGTTTTATATGGACATTCAGCACTCACGGTGGCCAAGAAAGATACTCAATCATTCAATGGACCGATTGGCCACAACTGTCACTAAATTACGGATTTGAATTTTGGAATTCCACCAGGGAGTTGAATTATTTGTATAATATGGACTGGCCTTGAGGGAGATACCAATATATGTGGTATCTCCTGAAAGTTAAGCCAGTCAATATTGTTATTATTATCTAAATCAGACATCTAGAGCAAATAATACATGACAATCTCATAGAACTGAACAAACTTTGTCAAACCAGCACTGATACCACAAAGCATCCAGCTGCTTGACAACATTTTTGATACACTGCAAACAGTGTACCCAATTTGGTGTGATTATTACGTCACAATAGAGTGCGCGCAAAGTGCACAGGTTCTCGTACGCATATTAGATGTGCAATGAAAATTACAAAATACGGCGCGGTGAATATGGTCTTATATTTCATTCTTTTTTAACACGTAAAGTCCAGAGGCTTTTTCATGAAAGATAAATATGGTCTCATATTCCCCGATTAGCCCTTAATACAAAACGAGTGTAGAGTCTACATGGTCTAGATCTATTCTTCTTCTTCTTCTTCTTCTTCGCTATAAGTACAGGCCACTGTCGGGTGTATACTCGTACTGATTGTAGGTGCTGTGCAGGTGTATATATACATGTAGTGTCTCAGCAAAAGGTCTACAATGAGCTATGTGCAGTTAAAAAGACATCCGTAGCTTAACGGAGCTGGATCTTGAGTACCTCTCTCTTAAAGCTTAGCAGAGAGGTACAGGTGACGGCGGTCTGCGGTAGTGAGTTCCAGAGCCTGGTGGCATCTGGAAAGAAGCTCCTTTGAAGAACTTGTGTCCGAGCATATGGCCCTTGGAGTTTCTGGTCGTGGCCTCTTTTAGCAAAGCAGGTAGTGATGGAGTCAGAACTGTCTGGGGGATGGATATCAGCGAGTTCTTGATACAGAACATCATCGCTACCTTCGCTTGGGCTCTCCTTTCTTGCAGAGATGACCAGTGTAGTTGGTCGAGCATGGCTGTGACACTGCTTGTTCTGCGATGGTCATTGCAAACAAAGCGTGCATATCTTCTCTGTATCATCTCTAGCTTCCTGGTATTGGCTTGGGTAAAGGGATCCCAGATGATGCTTCCATATTCTATGACTGGTCTAAGTAGGGTGAGGTAGCAGAGTACTTTGACTTTTTGTGGGCATGATCTGATGTTCCTCTGGAGGAAGGCTCGGGTGGAGTTAGCCTTCCTTGTTACTTGGTCCATGTGGTAGTTCCAACTCAGCTTCTTGTGCAGATGAATTCCAAGATATTTCGCTGTATCTGCATGCTCCAGAGTTTGTCCATGAATGATGTAGGGTTTGATGATAGGCTTGCGTTTGTTTGACACATGGAGGACCTGGCATTTCTTTGGGTTGAACTCCATTAGCCAGTCGGCTTCCCATTGCTCCAGTGAATTGATGTCTTCCTGGAGTTGTGCACTGTCAGCTTCTGACGCGATGCTGCGATAAACTAGGCAGTCATCTGCAAAGAGTCTAACAGTGGTGTCAGGAGACAGGTACTCTGGTAGGTCATTAATGAACAGCAGGAATAACATTGGGCCGACGACGCTACCCTGCGGAACTCCAGATGTCACTTGGGTCTTGGTAGAGACATTTCCTTCAAGGTTTACCTGCTGCATACGATCACAAAGAAAGTCAGCTATCCATGCATGGGTACAATTACGTATGCCGTAGAAGTTCAGTTTGTGAAGAAGTTTTCCATGTGGCACCTTGTCAAAAGCCTTGGCAAAATCTAGGAGGATGACATCAAGTTGTTCCCTGTTATCTATGCCCTTGGCAAGATCCTGGATGGCAAGAGTAAGTTGCGAGACACAAGATCGCTTTTTACGGAATCCGTGTTGGGCGTCAAAGAGTATGTCATGGTCTTCAAGATGGTCCATGATGTTACTGTGGACTATGTGTTCCAAGACTTTACATGCTATTGTTGTTAGCGAGATTGGTCGGTAGTTTTCTGGTCTGCACCGTTCGCCCTTCTTGAAGACAGGAGCAACGTTTGCATTCTTCCAGTCATCTGGGACCTCTCCTTGATCAAGGGATGCTTGAAAGAAGACTGTCAGAACAGGTGTGAGCTCCTTTGCTAAGCTCCTCAATAGCCTTGAAGGGAGTTCATCAGGCCCAGTGGCTTTGTGGACTTGTAGCTCTGACAGGATCTTTAGCACACCAGCTGGTTGGATGGTGATGGCTTCCATAGATGGATAAGGACTTCTACCCATGTCTTTCATGTTGGTCATGTCTTCATTTCTTGTGAAAACAGACAAGAATTGTCTGTTTAGTATGTTAGATTTGGACGCATTATCTGAATATGTCAGGTCATCGGTAGATTTCAGTGAGGCTACATCAGATGAGTCACATTGTTTGCTGTTGATGAAACTCCAAAACCTCTTTGGATTGGTGGTTGAATCAGGGCTGACAATATCTTCAACATATTTGTAATATGCATTTTTATATGCTTTCCTCGTCTGTTTCATTACAGCCAAGTACTTTTCGTAATCCTCAGGGCTGTTGCTGGCCTTAGCTCTGTCACAGCTGCGTTTCTTCCTGTGGGTCAGCTGCTTCAGCGAACGACTGATCCAAGGCTGGTTGAACCTTGTTGAGGTCATCTTAGATGGTACATGCTTTTGCATCAGATGTAAGAGAGTGGTCTTGATGTTGTCCCACATGGCTTGTACTGGACTCGACCTGTCAAATTGTTCTGTGAAGGCTTGTTGAAAGGCAAGACAGTCTTCTCTAAGATTCTCCATGTTGGCATGTTTCCACAGAAAGACTTTCCTCTTCACTGGTCTGTTCCTACTTGCTACAACAGAGGATTCTACTAGCAAGATATCATGGTCACTTATACCTGGAAGCGCAACACACTTGCTAAGAAGTGTGGGTCTGCTCGACAGGAAGAGATCAAGGCAGTTGTTAATTCTTGTAGGGAAGGATACCATCTGTTGTAAGTTACAGTTTTGAAGCATCTCCAGGAACCATTGCTTGATTGGCATAGGATACTGGTTACCTGATGAGGACTGTGTTTCCCAATCAATGTCAGGTAGATTCAAGTCACCACCTATCCAGATGATGGCATTGCGGTATTGACTGTGAAGGTTTTCTACAGACTGACAGAGATCCTCCATGTACTTTTGGGTGCTAGAAGGAGGTCTGTACAAGGCACCTACAATAAGGAAGTTCTTCTTAGGGAGGCTGATTTTGATGAAGGTTGCTTCCACATCAAAGTCAGGAGCGCTTGGCAGTTGCTCAAAGATGATATCCTTTTTGAGCGATATATAAGAATACCACCGTATCCATAAGTTGGTCCTTTCGTATCACTTCATAGCTTGGAGGGAACAATTCAGCGCTGTGGATGTTGCTATTGAGCCATGTCTCTGTGCCTAGGATAATATCAGGATCAGAAGTAGACAGAAATAGCCGTCTGATATGGGTCATTTCTTTAATAAAACTGACATTTGTTGACATTCCCCATATACAGGCGGTACTACAGAGGTCTCGCACCGAGGAGGTAATCTGGCCAATCCAGCTGCCACTTATGGTGATAGAGCTTTCTCCCCCGATTTTCACTATTTAGATCTAATTTTCTGATTTATAAATCAGATGTAAATTAAGAATATGTATTGTACTCCTATTTACACTAAATAATAATAATTAACCTATTATACAAATGTGAAATTAATGGACTTATATGATTTATCCAATTTTTATCTCCGAACCGTGAAACGTACCGTTCATCCATTCAAAGTAGTAGTAATCTATGACATCACCCAGCCGATATATTTCCGGGTCAACCTACCAAACATAGCGAATGGCCAATCAGAGCACTCGTTTCGTATTGGGTTTATGAATATTCATATATCACTGGGTTGACTCGTACGTAGCTATTGGATGTTTGAAAAGAAAAAATGAATATTTATTAATTAAAAGCAAGATGGAGACAAGACTACGAGACTTTCTCGGATTAATCATTAATTTAGGATCTCAATGAGCAAGCTATCGTAAGTCAAACCCATATTTGTTTGTTATTTTTTATATTTTTATTAGCCTATTGTAATATTGCAGCAAAAGTGCATTTATGAGGATGTAAAGAGTGAAAATCTCGTTGCATATCTCATTCATCGCGGCCCTGCCGAACCGAACCATTTGTTCCACTAGTACGGCATAGGCCGTACTTCAGTCTGGTTCTCTGGTTCTGGATTATACTCCAACAAAGCGGGATCCCGCATCACGTCAGAGGGCTGACCTCGACCTGGGGGTTGACCTGGTGGAGTTATTTCCAATTGGTGTTTGTGAAAAAATCGCAGAGCCTTTTCTATGTATAGAGGCGGTCAGTGGAGCCAGATGCAATCTCAGTGGAACCACCGTCGATATCAGAGACCGAAGCTTTCGACCTAGATCAGAAGAATCTATCAGGTTATTTATCTCTTCCTGTTTATTTCTTGCACTCTGGAAGTTTACAATATTCTAATATGATTTTGTAAAACCACTGCTCAGATGTCTGATACGGGTAATAATGAATTTTATTAACATAGTTTGTTGGTTATTGAAATTGAATTGCCGATTTTTAGTGATTTTGAATTGCAACCGGCAGCCTCCTCCCTAATTCTAATATTAATAAAGCTATGACCAACTACACTGGCCATCTCTGCAAGAAAGGAGAGCCCAAGCGAAGGTAGCGATGATGTTCTGTATCAAGAACTCGCTGATATCCATCCCCCAGACAGTTCTGACTCCATCACTACCTGCTTTGCTAAGAGGTCACGA